GAGAGAGAGAATTTTTTAATATTTATTTTTTAGTTCTCGGCGGACACAACATCTTTGTTTGTATGTGGTGCTGAGGATCGAACCCGGGCCACACACATGCCAGGCGAGTGTGCTACCACTTGAGCCACATCCCCAGCCCCAAAATAATTTTATTTATTTATTTATTTTTACGTGGTGCTGAGGATCGAACCCAGAGCCTCGCACATGCTAGGCGAGCGCGCTACCACTGAGCCACAGTCCCAGCCCCTGAGGTAAAAAATTTAAAAGGAGGAAAGATTTATTTGGGTTCATGATTTTAGAGCTTCAGCCCATGGTACTTGGCTTTGTCACTTTGGGACTATGATGAAGCAGAACATCATGATGGGGAGTGGAGCAAAGCTGCTTACATCATGACATCTGGGAAGTGAAAAAGAGAGAAGGGGTCTGGGTCCTTAATGATACTAACTTCCCTTCAACAACCTCCTAAAGTTTTTACTGCTTCCCAATAGTGCTAACAGCTGGGGAAAAAGCCTTCAACAAATGAGCTCTTGGGGGGGACATTTAAGTTCCGACCCATAACACCTGGGTCTCCTGATTGATTTTTTTTTTTTTTTTTTTTTAAATCTTTGGTGTGGTGTTTATCCAGGCTGTTCATCAGCAGATTCTGAGCAACAAGTTCCTTATTGTACGAATGAGAGAACTACTATGGAGAAAGGAAGATTGCCAGAAGTTTTACAAAGAACATGAAGGTAGGACTGATAGTCGATAGTCTTCTGAGTGGAAGGCTTCTCAATCCCAAGAGTCTGATCAGATTTTCCCTGGAATATCTGATGTTCCAGGCTTTCTGTGACCTATCAGTTGTGTAAAATTGCAATGAATCTTTATTTTTTTTAAAAAATATTTTCAGTTGTTTATTTTATTTATTTATTTTTATGTGGTGCTGAAGATTGAACCCAGTGTCTCGCATGTGCTAGGCAAGTGCTCTACCAATGAGCTACAACCCTATCCCTGCAACCAATTTTATAAAGTCTTGGTTTTTACTGAAACTTTTCATGATTATAATTATTTTATTTTCTTAGGAGGGTTCTGTCTCATAGGTTTTTATTGAAACTTTTCATGATTATCATTATTTTATTTTCCTAGGAGGGTTCTATCTCATAGTCTTAATCAGAAACAATTTTATGTCTGGATGATATTATCAGTAGTTAATACTTAGTGACTATTTTTTTGGTCATTATTCTAATGCTTATTATTTCATTTAATTATTCCCAACAATGCTAAAAAGTAGGTATATTTATATCTCCAGTACACAGATTAGGAAACAGCAGGGAGGTTAATGACTTATTTGAAACTACAGAGGTTGTAAGTAGTAGAGCCTAGGTTCAGGTGTAGAAATGTCAGACTCTAAGCATCCCCCCTTTTGCCCTTCCCCCTCTAAAGCAGTGTTTATTATTTCAGGTAAGGAAGTAGTAGTAGAAAAATTTATCTTGGGCACCTGTATCTTCATGAAGGTACTCTCTCTTTGCAGGTCGTTTTTTCTATCAGCGACTGGTGGAGTTCATGGCCAGGTACTTCTAATTTAGTCTTAGCATCTTTATCTACTAGGTATATCTCCTCTGCTCATAAATAGAATTGTTAACTTCATTTACCCTCTTTAAAGTTATAATCAATATCAAGTATGAGGAAGCAGAGCATGGAGCTCTGATTAAGCCAACATTGACCTTTTATACACGTAGTCATATTGGTTACTGGATCATTGACTCTAAGAGTATTGTTGAATGCTGCCTGGCAACTCTGCTTATCTGTGTGGTTCTTATATACCAGCAGTGGCCCTCTATCAACTTCTCTTTGAAACAGCATTGGTTCTGAGCTCTAAAGGCAATGAAACTCTCAGGATGCAGTATGCCTTTACTTATGAACTGCTTATAGAATGCTCTGGGTGGTCAGATTCTTTACATGTGTTCATTTTGTTCACAGTGGGCCAATCCGAGCTTATATCCTTGCTCACAAGGATGCCATCCAGCTTTGGAGGACACTGATGGGACCCACCAGAGTGTTTCGAGCACGCCACATGGCCCCAGATTCAATTCGTGGGAGTTTTGGCCTCACAGACACGCGCAACACCACCCATGGCTCAGGTGAGTCTATCTCCTTTGTTCAGAGCCACAAATAAGGAAGGATGTGTTGGGGTTTGTGGTTAGGCTATATGGTAAGGTTGATAGCCATGTTCCTTCAATGAGCTTTCTTTCTATTTATGTTTCTGGTCCTTTGTAGCCATTTCAGCTGATTTGGCCTGTGGGTTTTCTTTACATGCCCCAGGACTGAGGAAGTAGACTTAGGTTTCTGAACTTGATTTTGACTATCTCTTGCCTGTACCCTGTACTCCCCATGAGGATCCTCATCTATTTTACCTTCTCTTGTAGACTCTGTGGTTTCAGCCAGCAGAGAGATTGCAGCCTTCTTTCCTGACTTCAGTGAACAGCGCTGGTATGAGGAGGAAGAGCCCCAGTTGCGCTGTGGTCCTGTGTGCTACACAGAGGGAGGCATCCACTGTGCAGTTGGAACAGGAGGCCCAGGACCAGCCTGAAGAGGGCCTATCAATCTATGAAGATTGGTAGCAATTCCTAGACTTTTCTCCTAGATCTCTGGTCCAGAACATTCTCATGGGAACAGGGAAGCCTGGGCTCATGGTGCTATTTCTACTTGGCATCACTACTTGCTAGAGGGCCTAAGTCATCACTGCAGAGCCTTTAGAATCTAGCTATCTACGTCTTCCCTAGAATGTTCATGGGTTGTTTTAAAAAAAACAACCTGAGAAGTATTCATCCTTCTTCAAGGAAGAGCTTGCCCAATTGACCTGCCTGGAAAATACAGTGACTATGTAAACAACATTTAGCTTGTCTTCCTTAATAAAAGTCAAGTGTTCTGAATTATCAGAAGTGTCAGTACTACTCTAGGAGCTTGCTCTTTCCTTAATTGGAGTAATTAGATCTTTCCTGAAGCTAGGTTTCAGGTCTGTGCTAAGTAAAGAGACTGACACACACATACACATGGAGGGCAGCTTATGTAGCAGAAAAAACACCCAGCAATACACCCAGGAGCTTAATGTAGACTCAGATCCATGCTATGACCCTAGCACAGGGCTGTGTTCTGGAGAAAGTGACACCTTTTATTTGAACTCAGGTATCTGTCAGTGAGGCATGTTTTTTTTTTTTTTAAATTTATTTATTCTAATTTGATATATATGACAGCAGAATGCATTTCAGTTCATAATACACATATAGAGCACAATTTTTTATGTCTCTGTACACAAAATATCACACTATTGGTATCTTCATACATGTACTTGGAGTAATGACAATCTCATTCCACTGTCTTTCCTAACCCTCTGCCCCCTCCCTTCCCTTCCCTTCTTCCCTTTGCCTTATCTAAAGTTCCTCCATTCCTTCCATGCTTCCCCTGCCCCCCATCCCTATTGAAGATCAGCATCCTCATATCAGAGAAAACATTTGGCATTTTGTTTTTTGGGATTGGCTTACTTAGCACAATATTCTCTTACTCTATCCATTTACCTGCAAATGCTATGATTTTATTCTCTTTTAATGCTGAGTAATATTCCATTGTGTGTGTGTGTGTGTGTGTGTGTATCACAGTTTCTTTATTCATTCATCTACTGAAGGGTATCTAGGTTGGTTCCACAATTCAGCTATTGTGAGTTGTGCTGCTATAAACATTGATGTGGCTGCATTACTATAGTATGCTGTTTTTAAGTCCTTTAGGTATAAACTGAGGAGTGGGATAGCTGGGTCAAATGGTTCCATTCCATGTTTTCCAAGGAATCTCCATACTGCTGTCCAGATTGGCTGCAACAATTTGCAGTCCCACCAATTTGCAATGTATGAGTATGCCTTTCTCCCCAGATCCTTGCCAACACTATTTTGTTTGTATTCTTAATAGCTGCTACTCTGGAGTGAAATGGAATCTTAGAGTAGTTTTGATTTGCATTTCTCTAATTGCTAGAAAGATGTTGAACATTTTTTCATACATTTGTTGATTGATTATATATTATCTGAGAAGTGTCTGTTCAGTTTCTTGGCCCATTTATTGATTGGGTCATTTGTTTTTTTGGTGTTAAGGTTTTTGAGTTCTTTATATATCCTAGAGATTAGTGTTCTCTCTGTGTGTGGTAAAAATTTGCTCTCATTCTGTAGGCTCTCTATTCACCTCACTAATTGTTTCTTTTGCTAAAAAGAAGCTTTTTTAGTTTGAATCCATCCCATTTATTGATTCTTGATTGTTATTTCTTACTCTATAGGAGTCTTATTAAGGAAGTTGGGGCCTAATTCAATATGTTAAAGATTTGGGTCTACTTTTTCTTCTATTAGGCTCAGGGTTTCTGGTTTAATTCCTAGGTCCTTGATCCACTTTGAGTTGAGTTTTGCACATGGTGAAAGATAGGGGCTTAATTTAATTTTGTTGCATATGGATATCCAATTTTCCCAGCACCATTTGTTGAAGAGGCTATCCTTTCTCCAATATGTTTTTGATGCCTTTCTCTAATATGAGATAACTGTATTTATGTGGCTTTCTCTCTGTGTCCTCTACTCTGTACCATTGGTCTACAAGTCTATTTTGGCATCAATATGATGCCGTGTTTGTTACTGTTGCTCTGTAATATAGTTTAAGATCTGGTATAGTGATGCCTCCTGCTTCACTTTTCTTGCTAAGGATTGCTTTAGCTATTTTGGGTCTCTTATTTTTCCAGAAGAATTTTATGATTGCTTTTTCTACTTCTATGAGGAATGTCTTTGGGATTTTGATTGGAATTGCATTAAATATGTATAATACTTTTGGTAATGTGATCATTTTGACAATATTAATTCTGCCTATCCAAGAACAAGGGAGATCTTTGTTTCAGAGGATTTGTCACTGATGTACAGAAATTCCTTTGATTTATAGGTGTTGATTTTATATCCTGCTACTTTGCTGAATTCATTTATTCTAGAAGTTTCCTGGTGGAATATTTTGGATTTTCTAGCTATAGAATCATATTGTTGGCAAATAGTGATAATTTGAGTTTTTCTTTTCCTATTCCATATCCCTTTAATTTCTTTCATCTGTCTAATTGCTCTGGCTAGAGTTTCAAGAACTATGGTAAATAGCAATGGTAAAAGAGGGTATCCTTGTCTTGTTCCAGTTTTTAGAGGGAATGCTTTAGTTTCTCTTGGTTTAGAATGATGTTGGCCTGGGGCTTAGCAAAATAGCTTTTTCAATGTTGAGGTATGTTCCTGTTATCCCTTGTTTTTCTAGTGTTTTGAACATAAAGAAGCGCTGTATTTTGTCATATGCTTTTTCTGCATCTATTGAGATGATCATATTATTCTTATCCTTAAGTTATAATTACATTTATTGATTTCTGTATGTTGAACCAACCTTGCATCCCTGGGAGGAAACCTACTTGATCGTGGTGCATTATCTTTTTGATGTTTTTGTATTCGATTTGCCAGAATTATTATTGAAAATATTTGCATCTATGTTCATTAGTCCGAAGTTTTCTTTCTTTGATGTGTCTTTGTCTGGTTTTGGAATCAGGATGATATTGGCCTCATAGAATAAGTTTGGAAATGTTCCCTCTTTTTCTATTTCATGAAATAAGTTGAGGAGTATTGGTATTAGTTCGTCTTTGAAGGTCTTGTAGAACTCAGCTGTATATCCATCTGGTCCTGGGCTTTTTTTTATTGGTAGGCTTCTGATGGTGCCTTCTATTTCACTGCTTGAAATTGATCTGTTTACTTGTGTATATCATCCTGATTCAGTTTGGGCAAATCATCTGACTCCAGAAATTTGTCAATGCCTTTGACATTTTCTATTTTATTGGAGTACAAGTTTTCAAAATAATTTCGAATTATTTTCTGTATTTCTGTAGTGTCTGTCATAATATTTTATTTTTCATTACAAATGTTAGTAATTTGAGTTTTCTCTCTCCTTCTCTTTGTTAGCATGGCTAATGCTTTATCAGTTTTATTTATTTTTTCCAAGAACCAACTTTTTGTTTTGTCAATTTTTTCAGTAGTTTCTTTTGTTTCAATTTCATTGACTTAGCTTTGATTTTAATATTTTCTGTCTTTTACTGCTTTTGGGATTGATTTGTTCTTCTTTTTTCTAGGGCATTTATTTGTTGACTTTTTCTTTTTTGAAGGAATGAACTCCATGTAATAAACTTTCCTCTTAGTACTGTTCATAGATTTTGATCAGTGTTCTCATTTACCTCTAAGAATTTTTTAATTTCTGTTTTTTAATTTCCTGTTTGATGTCTTTTGCAACCCATTGTTCATTGAGTAGCATATTATTTAGTCTCCAGGTGTTGGAGTAGCTTCTATTTTTTATTATCACTGTTTTCTAATTTCATTCCATTATGATCTGATAGAATGCAGGGTAGTATCTCTATTTTTTTGTATTTGCTAAGATTTGCTTTTTGGCATAATGTATGGTCTGTTTTAGAGAAGGATCCATGTGCTGCTGAAAAGAAAGTCTATTCACTTGTTAATGGATGAAATATTCTGTATACGTCTGTTAAATCTAAATTATTGATTGTATTATTGAGTTCTATAGTTTTTGTTTTTTTTGTTTAGCTTTTGTTTGGAAGATCTATGCAGTGGTGAAGGAGGTGTGTTAAAGTTATCTTTGTGTTGTGGTCTATTTGACTCTTGAACTTGAGAAGAGTTTGTTTGATGAATGTAGATATGCCATTGTTTGGGGCATATATATTTATAATTGTTATGTCTTGTGGAGACCCCTGCTTGTTTCCACAGTCCATGTTAGTGATACATTTTTTCCCCAACCTTTCACCTTTAGTCTGTGGATGTCTTTTCCTATGAGATGAGTCTCTTGAAGGCAGCATATTATTGGGTCTTTTTAAAAAATTCAATCTGCCAGTCTATATCTTTGGATTGGTGAGTTTAGGCCATAAACATTCAGGGTTATTATTGAGACATGATTTGTATTCCCAGTCGTATTTGTTTATTTTTGGTATTTAATGTCTTAGTTTCTCCTTTGATTAGTATTTCCTTTAGTGTAATACTTCCCTTTGCTGATTTTCATTGTTTTTTTTTTTTTTTGTTTCCTCTTCATGGAATATTTTGCTATGAATGTTCTGTAATGCAAGCATTCTAGTTGTAAATTCCTTTAACTTTTGTTACAAATCATGGAAGGTTTTTATTTCATCATCAACTCTAAAGCTTAATTTTGCTGGATATAAGATTCTTGGTTGGTGTCCATTTTCTTTCAGAGCTTGGTATGTATTGTTCCAGGGTCTTATAGCTTTCAGGGTCTGGGTTAAAAAATCTCCAGATATCCTAATTGGTTTCCCTCTATATGTAATCTGATTCCTTTCTCTTGTGGCTTTTAAAATTCTCTCCTTATTTTGTATGCTAGACATTTTCATTATAATGTGCCTTGGTGTGGATCTGTTGTGATTTTGTACCCATGGTGTACTATAAGCCTCTTGTATGTGATTTTCCAAGTCATTCTTCATGTTTGGAAAATTTTCTAATATTATTTCATTGAATAGATTGTTCATTCCTTTGGTTTGGAGCTCTATGTGGTCCTCTATTCCAATAATTCTTAAATTTGGTCTTTTTTTTTTGTTATCCCATTATTGTTGAATGTGTTGCTCATGTTTTTTTTTTTTTTCTTACCATCTTTACTGTGTGGTCAACATTCTTTTCAGTATTATATATTTTATCTTCACTATCTGAGGTCCTGTCTTCCAAGTGATCTAATATGTTGGTGATGCTTTCTATTGAGCTTTTAATTTTGTTTATTGTTTCTTTCATTTCAAGTATTTGTTTTTTTTTTCCAGAACCTCTTTCTCCTTATTGAAGTAATCTTTTGCTTCCTGTATTTGCTTATGTAGCTCTTTATTGAAATGTTC